AACAAAATAAAACCGCAGGTCTGGGAAGGAAACGCCATTGAAGCCGGGAAATAGATGTGCAGGTCACTGCCTTGAGAAAGCCAAATGCTAAGCCAGGTTACAAAATTAAGAACCTACCAAATTCTCCAAAAGGCTAGCGGTCTCTGAATCTGTGGATCCTGTAATTCTAGACATGCTGAAGGCTGGAGAGAATTGGTTAAAAGCTGCTGAACAGATCAATTTCAGATCTGATTTCTTGGGTCTCTCCTTCCCCAACAGCCCACTGGCAAACAGAGCGGGGTTTGAAAGCTCACTGTCGGGACCTAGAAAACAATGCACCAAAGTAAGGTGCAACCATGTGCAGAGCTTGCTGGACGAGAGCCCTGCAGGGTCTCTAGCACCGTCTGGTGCCTGCAGACTATTCAGCAGACCTTGTTGGTCCAAGAAAGTTTATCCCAGCTCAAAGGCGCCTTTCTGTAAGCCTGGCTCCTTCACCTATTATTTAGCTACTTGTCTTATTGCTAAGACAAAATACCAACAAAAGCAACTTGAGGAAGAACTCATTCTGGCTCACAGTTTGGGGAAGTCCATCATAGTGAAGGCAGGGGCTCGACGCAGCTGCTCACATGGATCTGCAGTCAGAGAGCAGAAGCAGACGGGTGCCTTTCTCCTTCTGGGAGGTGTTTGCCCAGACACAGGATGGTACCCCCCACATACAGAATGGATCTTCCCACCTCAGTTAAACGAATCCATAAACTCCCTTACAGGCAAGCCTGGTGTGTCATTTCCATGTTGATTCTAAATGCTAACAGGTGGATAATGGAGACTAACTAACCATCACACCTACGGACAGTCTCTAACAGACTTGGATTGTCAGAGGTCCCCTCCCTGGAAATCTTACTCACCGGGTCAGAGAAACTCATTGTCCCACCAGGGAAAGTCTCAAGGTAGACACCACAGACTGTCACAAGCTGCCACTTCTTCCACAGGGCTTGTTTTGTGGACAAGGTTTCACATAGTCCAAACGGGCCTAGAGTTCAGTCTATAGATGAGGCTGGCCTTGAACTCCTGTTCCTCCTGCTTCCACCTCCCAAGTGCTGGGATTACAGGCACCACTCTTGGTTCTGAGGAACAACCTAGCACCGCCTCTGTGGTTCCTCCCCTCATCATCCCACAGTGGTCCTCAGGAACTCCCAGAAGCTGCAAGCCTGCTCCTTAGAGCCATGTAGAAGTCAGTCACCAAGCCCTTTGCTCAATGTGAGTTTGCTGTGACAATGAAGTTAAAATGACTTTTCCTCTCTTAGTCTTGCTACTGAGCTTGTTTAATGAACTCAGTGATAAGGAGTGAAAGGAAGTTTTTCTCTCCCCTGCAGCAACCATTCTCAAACCTTCTAACATGAGCACTTGGATAGATCGAGTAAAAACAGGGTCCTTCCAAGTCCCTGGATTTTGGTCCTGGAATACATGTTGAATTTACATGTCATCCCCACTCCACCAACTTGTCAACATGACTTCCTTTCCTTGGGTAAAGCAAGCTCCACAGAGCCACCAACTTGGACAGTATTTGCGGTGGTGGGACTCCCTCCAGTCTAATGACTCCTCCCTGCAGCCCTAGAGCAGTCTTCTGGCCAGGTCTCGGGTGGTAAGGGATCTTCACAGGCACTGAGTGGATGGTCATGGTCTCCCCCACCTACTGGAAGAAAGGCTTGTGGAATGGAGGAAGGACTCATGTAAGCTGCAGTGTGACTTAAAATGATATCTGGAGAGCCTTGTTGACGGTTAAGGCCAGCAGAAAACCCAGCAGACATCTGCCAGGAGCCAGGAATTCTTCGCATCATAAAGTCCTGCAAATATCTGATCATCCCACAAAGCGAGGATCACAGAGGAGCAATGTTCTCCCAAGTAACAGAGCAGTTTGTATGTAGTACTTAGGCCTGACAGTCCTTCGCTCTGTTCACTAAAACCTTTCCCTGTGTCGTATTAGTTGATTTTGATTGTTTAAAAAAAAATACCAGGGTGACGAAAGGGGAACAAATCTGTCTGCAGGATTTGTTGGAGCTTTGGATACTCAGTTAACTGTTCTAATGGGATGTGGCTTGGTTGATATAGTATAGTGCTTGCTTAGCATGCAGAAAGCCCTGGGTTCAAGTTTCAGCAACTCCTGTGGGCTAAACTTCACAGTTTCATGATGGCAGGTGCTTAGTTTGCGAATTCTCCTTCAGAACTATAAAGGAAGAAAAAGCGGAATGCAGTCCTATTTAGTCCTAAAAAGAATGATATTATACCATCTGCAGTTAAGTGGAAGGAAATGGAGATCATGATAAGCAATATTAACTAGACCCAGAAGGACGTTGCATGTTTTCTCACATATGGAGAGAAACATGTTAAATTTGTAGAATGTAGGTTGTATACATATACACATGACACAACAATAGAAGAGGGACTATTTGGGAAGAGGATTAGTGTAGGAAGAGACCAAATAACTACAGGTAAAACTCTCAACAGAAATACAACGTGCTGATATCACCCGGAGGCCAGGGGACACTGAGGTCGAGGCAGAAAGAATGAGAGCCGGAGGATGGAAGGGAGAACTACAAAAGGCTATTTATCTTGACATAATGTGGCCATGGCAATCACAAAAACACAGAAGCTGTGATCACAGGGCCAGGGATGGGGTGGCTAATAGGGCAAAAAGGGTCTGCAGGAATGGCGAGGAGTAAGAGAAGATGGGGTGCCCACAATAAACACACTATATACAAGAAACTTCCAAATATTTTTTCGAGACAGGGTTTCACTGCGTAGCTCTGGTTGTCCTAGAACTCACTCTATAGACCAGGCTGGCCTTGTACTTACAGAGAGATCTGCCTTCCTCTACCTCCCTAGTACTGGGATTAAAGGGAACAAAAAGTAATTAAAACAAAGTAAAACTGACAACCAAGAGCATGGGCGTTGGTGGCCCACGCCTTTAATCCTAGCACTTGGGAGGCAGAGGCAGGAGGAACTCTGAGTTGGAGACCAGCCTGATCTACAAGAGCTAGTTCCAGGACAGCCTCCAAAGCCACAGAGAAACCCTGTCTCGAAAAAACAAAACAAAACAAACTGACAAATTAGTAGGATAGCAAACATTGAAAACTAAAACTTTCAGTGGAAAGCCACACTGAGTGCAACACCAGTTGCACTGGGCAGCTGTCAAAAGTCACCCCTGGATTTCATTTATATGTGGCCTTTAACCAAATGGTGCTGCCTCTGGGCCAGGAAAAAATAGTACCAACTAAAAAGCACAATAAACCAATCATAAAACAAACTCCTGTTATCAGTAAGGTTATCAGTGGACGTAAGAAAGCAAATTCAGAAAAATAAATCTCTTACTAGAAATGGTTCAACAGCTACTTCTCAGGGCATCAGCTAATGACCTGGCGAGAGACCAAGGCCAGAGTGCATGTTCGGTGGGTCTTAGCGGGGACTCCACACACCTGTGAGGCTGACTTGTCCAAGATCACGCAGTCCCCAGAGGTGAGTCCTCTCAGCACCATCTACTCCACAATTCACGTCTGGAGTGCCATCCACTTGCTGATCTGGCTTGTGACTTACGGTGGAGACTGACAGACCTGGGGAGATGTAGCCTGGGTAGGTCCTGGTCTAGACTACACAGTGGCACTCAGGGCCGTAAGTTCCTAGCATCAGGAGGCTGGGGCTGTTCTTCAGGCTGCAGAGCTCAGTCCTGACAGTACTAGGAATCTTCTCATCTAGCTATGTTCTGCAGGGAGCTACAGTCTTTGAAGAGTGAGGGTTTGTGGGGACACCAGACCTTGAGCAGAAACCCACTTCCCCTTCGGCCTGGGAGCAGGCAGCTGTGAGATAATGTTTACTGAAAACAATTCAGTGCTATAAAGCTCTTGATAGGGCTCAGATAAGGGCTTGCTCACTGAAACACCATGACTTTGACACCCCCTACGGCTAGATGCTTCTTCCTGTCCCCCCTGCTGTGTCTCCCCGATTCTGGGGCCGGAGATTAAACCACCAGCCAGGAGGGTGAGAAGTCTGGAAAGAATTATGTGTAGATGGATGGCAAAAGTCCTTAAAAAGGGAAGCGTTTTTTCTTAGAGACTTCTCTCCTAAGCGGACTTGGGGTCTCCTCCTAAGCTGACTTGGGAAGCATAAAGTTTTCTTAAAGCAACCAACCGGTCTCTGTGTCATCTATCCCGACCACCTTGCTACATTCTCGGATGCAGGCTACACAGCAGGTGCGACAAGGGTTCTAAGTGGTTTCTTCCTTCTGGACTCATGCAGGCCTCTTGGCTCGCCTCTTTGGATGCCTAGCTTCAGTTACTCAAAAGTTGATTGAAAAGTTTTGAGTGGGTTCTGTCCTGTCCTCGGCAGGAATAACAAATGGGTTCTATATAGGGGAGCATAGATTGTCAATGTCTGTGGTAGAAAAGTCTGGTTCTAGATTCAGCTTTACAAAAGAAGAAGAAGAAAAAAAAAAGACTAGTGATGTCTGGTATGAGCCCATGGTGAGAAGCTACAGCAGCCTGCATGCTTGCCCTGCAGGCCTAGGCAAAGGCACCTGTACAGCTGGGTCTGGTGGTGCAGGCCTGCAATCCTTGTTTTCTGGAGGTCAGGGCAGGAGAACCAAAAGTTGATGATTTGCCTGGAAAACTTGGGGTAGCCATCTCAAAGCTAAAACTGTAAAAGTGGTCTGGGATGCGGCCCCGGTAGTAGAGCTCACCAGGCATGCAAAGCCCTGTTTATGTTCAACCCCCAGCAGCAAACACGGGAGTAGCAAAGCACCACACAGTAGGCCTTTCTCAAGTCTACTGTCCTCCTCACTGCTCACCCCTAGCAACCTGTGAATGCGGCATCAAAACTGAAGCCTGCCTGGCCTGGATGCCTTAGAGAGCCACCCTATCCCCCACCCCCACTTTGATTAATGCTAGACAGAACACCACGTGCATACCTTTCACTCCACTGTCTGCCTAGGCCCTGTTGATATTCACAGGTATGCCTGTTTTTTTTTCCAGAAAAATCGGAGCCTTTCCTGTAAGACCAACTATCCCCTTCCACTGGGAGTGCAGATTAGGCCATGGCTTCCATCAATGGCTACACACACCACTTGGCTGATTACCAGCTTGCCTCCAAGGCGGCTCTACATCTGTCCTGCTTTTATTTCTGAGTGCCAAAGACCAGGTGAAGGGGCAGGCTTCCTCTGGTCCAGACAAGAGCTGGCTGTCCAGGCACTGGCAGCCTTTTAAACATCATTCCGGCCTTGTACAATTCCTTCAGCAAGCACGGAGGTCACACATGTATTCAGCTTTGGCCTCTCAATGAGGTTAATAATCCCTTCCTGATGTCTCGTGTTCGCACATGTCCCTCGGGCGGTTCCATCCTCCCAAGTGTTCTCAGTACCACCACCAGTGGGATTCCCCACCAAGGGTCTGCAAGTACCACAAGCAGCATGGGAGGAAGAGCACTTTTCTGCACCCAAGAGGTCCGGGGCAAACATTGGCAATGCCCACATCATTTACTCCGTGCCCCTGAAACCTTCCCAATCCTTCTGAAGAACTGAACGGTGATAAAGGGCAATGAGCAAGACTCTGTCTGCACTCTTCCCTTCAGTGCCAGCTCAAGAACAGACCAGACAAGAAGACCTCAAAGGCAGCAGCAGCCGCCAGCCTTGCTGTGTAGCTTGTGGGCCAGACAAGGTGCTTCATTCCATCTGGTCACAACAGGCTTAAGGGGCTCTGGCAAGAGCAGGGGCTGTCTGAGGTCTTTCAAACCCTGGAAGGCATCTTCAGCTCCCTCAGTTACCACAGCCTATCTGAAAGGAGCACAGATAATTACTTTCTTCCAAATTTTAATGGTTCTTTGGCTCAATTCTTTCTTGTACTACTTTGTGATCTATACACTACAACACTCAAAATAACCAGCTTCCGCTAACTCAAGAACTGAAGGAACTATGCTTTCTATCCCCACTGGAAACATACCACAAGTGGGAGAGGAAAAAAGAAACTAGGCTTTTCTAAGGGTTGAAGTCTATGGAACAACAAAAATAATCATCTCCAATGTAAATTTTACTATTTTATTTGTGAAAAAACTACAAGCAGAATTCATAAATAGACATTTCTATTTAAAGCAGGAAAATGATAAAGTGGCTTCTAATAACATAGTCGTGCACATGCCAATAACAGGAATATATTAACATCTTTTATTTGCTAGACAAAGAGCAGTGTCCAATATAAATTTCCCCCAAACATTTAAGACCTGTGAATTTCTGACCAGTTCACAAAACCACCGACACTTTAGCATGAAGAGAAAACAAACCTAACAGACTGTCAGCTCTAAGACGGACGGAGCAGAAACTTCCAAAGCATTATACAAGCCATCTTTCTGGGCAAATGGAAAATAGAGCTCGTATAAGACATTAACAAAAGTTCACAAGGGAAGATTATGTTCTGACATACTTAACAAGCATTCGCTATCTGTCTCCAACAAACAAAGCTAAGGAAATAATGTAACCATCTTTACACAGTAAATTAAGGTTACAAGTCATACACAAGAACAGAACTGCTTGCGCGTTAGAAACTGTTCAGCTCCATTGTCACACTCTAAATGTTGGCTCTTAAACCATTTTCGGTAACATACAAGCAAAGGTTATTATATATTCAGCAATTAATAAATTCTCAATAATTTAAGATACGGTAGCTTACAAATGTAGACTGAGAATGGTCTTGATAAGGCAGGCGAGACATCTTAGTGGAGCTAATCTCACAGAAACTTCTGCCAATGTTTTGAAGCATCAGATCCAAACTGAAAGGTTCTGATTAAAATATTTTTGTGGGTTATCAAGATGTCTTTTTATCTTCTCCCAACTGCACGACTCGGGCAGAGCAAGTCAGGTCAGCTCTGTGTGTGTGCACACGAGTGTGAAAGATCATGTACTAAACACGGGAAGCTTGCAAGCCTTAACACTGTGCTTTTTGTTTTAATATGCTTTCTGTGCCACTGAATACCAAGTATTTCTGATCCTCTTAATGTCTCTTTGTAAGCTACACTAGTGTTTTTACCTACTGAGTACTATAGTAGGGCAAACTGTAAATGCAGGAAGCTAACAGGAATTCCATTTCCAGATGCATGCCTGAGGATGTCATTGCTTAGCAAGCACCCACCACACCTCTCCACCCCAACAGAGCCTGTGACAGCAGCAACAGGGCAGCCAGGAACATCTGATTGCTTAGACTCCGCCGCTGTCAGCTGCAGTTTCTACCTCAAGGCAAGTTCACTCCACTTGTTCTGAAGCCTTCCCTCCCTTCACTTCTCCTCATTAATTTATCACGGAGGCAAAACTGAAAAACCAAGACACCGGCGATGAATGAATTAGTAGCCTATGAGGAGCTGGTAAATCAGCCTTTCCCACTAATCTAGGGGGTCCAATCACTTTACATGAAACTCGTTTTGAAAAAGTACACAGTGTTTCTGAACAAAGTGCATACCAACACTTATTGGTTCAAAGAGCAGTGCAATCCACATGAATTTGGTGGCATTTAAATTTTTTTTAAAAAGTTAATTAAAAAACTTAGCAATTCCTTACACCTCTGGAAAATAAATATGGCTGACTAATTAACCCTCCCTGAGACCCTTAATAAAAGGAATATTAAAACTTTAGAAGGAATGTCTTTGCAATACCCCACTAATATTAAAATGTGGATTTAAAATTCATAGTCAAATCACTATGTATTATATATTCTGATGCTTACAGAAAGCACCTCATTTCCTTTGGTTCATTAATAAATACTTTAAAAAGGTATTTAAAAAGGTAAGTACAACTTGTATCCCAGACACAAGCACTGTTTTAAAAAGAGGGGAGCATTGTCCATGCTTCTGCGAACAGGAGCCCAGCGACAAATAGCACTGCCTTTGCGGACAGAACGTAGACTACGGCGCATCAAATGACTGGTTTTAATGTAAATGTGAATGGAACCATTCCTGTTGGCTACTCAATTCAAGCTGTTAGTATGTTCTTAACTTGTTGCCTCCACATATAGAAATTAGTTCTATTATTAAGCAAACCCGGTTAACACCAAGATGTGGTGTTTCCTTACACTCTCCCCAACGAGTCTGTAAGATGTGATCAAATAAAGGAAGGTTAACACCACGTTCTCATGCTTAAAGTGACTTAAGTTCTACAAGCTCAGTGGATATGAAGGTAAAGTCAGATAGGAGAGATACCCTGAATCTAAGAGCAAAGCAGAACCACCCAAATTTGGGATGAGATGGGGCGATAAATTGTTATTAGTGGTCTTTAATTATCCCCTGCCCCCAAAATGGTAAAAAGTGAAAAGAAACTTCCGGGTTCAGTCAAGCTATCTCTGCTGACAAGACAACGACCACCTGGTTCGCTTTCCTGGAACGAGAGCTTTCCCTGCAACTTGCCCATGCCCCCCTGCAGTTCCTTTCCACACAAGGAGCCAAAAAATGACACCAGAGACTGGAAGATCTCTGTGTCAGGTCTGGATGTGTGGCTGACAACCATTGTTTAGTAAAGTGAACCATAGAAGGTTTTAAGAAGAAAACAACTGCATTGGTAGGGTGAGGGTTGGAGGGTAGGGGTGGGGTGGCAAACAGACCGTGATCACAAAGATTAACCACTGCAATGTCACAGGGGAAGTAGACACAAGGACTGCTTCCCTAGATGGTGTGGATTAAAAATGCACTACTGCAACCCTACAACTAAGAGACAGGAGCTAGATGTGCCTCAGGCATGAGCAGAGGTCTGGAAAAAGGCCGGAATTCAGATACAGAACACCATATTTTCATGAGTGCTTAAGAACAGCAATGTTAACATGTAACCATAATTTACACGAATACTTGGCATTCTGGAGCTAGTTTTGTTACTTCCAAATGGTCAAAGCCCTCCAACTGAACCACTTGTGATTTGTCAATTATCCCATCGCAAATGCAGGCTATCTGGAGCAGTCTTTAAATTTGAGATCACATTGTTTAAAAAATATATTTTTTATATCATCCAGTACTCTTAAAGACAGATGAGAGAGTCAAGTTCCCATGTGAGTTGGAACATACTTCATGTAAGACTGACTTTAATGTATTTCAGCACTTTCATAGAAGGGACTGTCCCAGATCTGTGTCAACTGTTCAATGTTGTATTCACTTCACAGTGTATCAAGCACCAGCGTTGCCATGGATTGGTTTCAAATAACCCTTTATATATAATTTTATATTTATATATATAGTTATATCAAAACTGATAGTACAGAGTATAGCTGGACGAAAGAACTAAATTTAAGAGGATATGCTGACAGGATGGAGTCTGTGAACACAATAAATAAAAGTTCCCTCCCCCCTCCCAACCCTCTTCAACAAAACAAGAAACAGAAAACCAGTTGTAATGTACATGGAAAATTGTGCACAGCAGATTTTTTTATATAAAAAGTAGATTCAGGAGCACATCCAATTATAAATGATTGTTAGGAAAATCATATAAAACAATGGAATACATAAAAGTGTCAAGAGTAACTGTCAGGGTACGAAATTCCTTGGTAGCCAGATGCCCACGGCAAGCAGAACCTCTCCTGGTAGCATCACTACAAGGTCGTCCACAGTAGACTCCAGGGCGCAAGCAGCAAGGGCAGGTGGAGGGTTTGAATCTCATACCCTGATTCATAGTTTCACAATCCCATGTGCAATTTCAGAAAGATTCATCATTTACTGCTGACATGTCGCCCTTTGGCGTGGAGGAGCGGGAGGAGCCTTTGTCTGTGCTCTCTGACCCCGAGCTGCTCTGGTTCTGCTGTTCTGACCCTGCACTGGAGGTCACTGTGGAGGAGGATGTAGAGGAGGATCGAGTCTTTTCCTTAAAGTCTGTGATAATGACGGTGACATTGCCCACAGTTACGGCCAATTGCTGTGCGGTGCTCCTGTCCACGTTCTTCAGCCGGGGCCTGAAACATGCCAAGGGAACCACTTAGGAAGGAAGTGACAGCATCAACACAAGCCCCCCCCCCAAGCTTGTGCCCATGGACCTAAGCTGCCAACACAGGAACATTGGTGCCCATTAGCTGTAGGTGTGTTGACCATTTTTATAATAAGAGAAATAAACAACCACCAGCTAGCAGAACTTTTAATCCCAGGTGACAAACGACTTCTGTTCTGGCCAAGATGGTCTATAGGAAGGTCAGCAGCCTTACTTCTATAGCTCCTCACTCCACCTCCCTCAGCCTAAAATCTCTAAGTAACCCTGAGCTTTTGATTATGATTAAATAAACAACTTAGTATTTCACTACAGTTTCATAGTACCTTGAGGTGTGATTCGTTTCGCTGGTCTTTGTTGTAGCATTAGCAGACTGTATACTGTTAGCTTCACTAGGAGGGTCTTTTAGAATATCAGACTTTGGTCTAAGGGGCAAAACAAAGATCCAGAAAAATAAAAATAAGTCATCATTTAAAATCTCTGATCCAAGTGCAAATTAACATGTTGTATTTAGTGTCCAGAAACTTACTTTGTTTTCTTGTTGGTGTTTTTCTTAGTGACACTGGGGCTGATGTCCTTGTCTTTCTCAGGCTTCTCTTTGTCGGGCTTTTCCACCTTCTCCTTCTTCTCCTTCTTAGGGGGGGGTGGAGTGGCATACTGCTGTGCCACCTGCTGTGCCACCAGCTGGGAATTGATGCGAGGTTTCCTAGAACACACAACACAAGATACAGCGTAAGCACCGTGTGAGTACTTCACCAATTTTATCATGGCAACTGTCCATCATCCCATATTGCTTCAATGTTGTATGCATAGCCTTCAAAAGAAGACATCAAATGCACTTGCTGTACATATGCACACAGCCCTTGCAATCATCCAACAAGTTGTAAGAGTGCTAAAAACACTTCTTTTGAGCTGTCATTCTTATACGGACAGCTTTCAAATATGTCCGCTGCAGAGGGCTAATCTTGTTTTATTAAAGGGACACTGGTAATCCCTTAAAAAAGAGAATGAAATTAGAAGTGTGACATTCACTCCTCAATCTAATTATTCCAACTGGGCCTGCTCCCCTGCAGCTGTGATTGGCATGGACAACACATACAGGGCAATAAAAGGTAACTGTGGTTCACACATTCCCAAAGGGATGAAGTCACTGAAAAAAAAAAAAACCTGAGACAAGAGATACATTGACTGTGTCATAACGTTATGTCTGTACCAATCTCCAGCTGACACAGGGTCCCTCATCACGGTTGTATGTAGCTTCTAAGTAGTGCCAAACACTTTCACAATGCAGGACTATTCACAGACCCAATGCTAGCCAACGTTTCTATATACAGCAAACCCTCCTCTGCAGCCACATAACAGATCTCATAAGTGAAGTGGTACCCACGTTATTACAAGGCAAGTGGCCCATAAAGCATAGGAATACCAGGCAAGGGGATGATCAGTCAGAGATGACTGAGATGAAATGTTATTGACCATGACTGACTACTAAAACTTAGATGAGACAGGACTCCTATAATACAAATAAAAATTTCCTAGCTAGACATTCAAGAAGAATCAATGCACCAAACCCTAATGAGAACATTCAATGAGTTCTTAGCAAAGTGAAGGGACTGAATGCTATAACACAGTAGAGTTGACCAGAGCAAAAGTCTCAAGGAGAGGACCTGGACCACCAGTCCTGCTTTCTCACATAGTTTGGCTATTCCTCATGCGGGACTGTTAAGCAAACAAGGTAAACGGGGATAGCGCTTGAAAAGACATGATGTAGGAGATAGATGTTATCTATTCTAGTAAAGGCACAATCTCAGAGAAAGTCTGCTCTCAGCCTCCAGCAACAATGACCTTGAGCAGGAAACTATTTACCTGAAAGTACATTTCTCTAAGGGAAGGATTATGTCACAAGATCTTTATCAGTGGTTTTCAACCTTCCTACTGCTGTGACCCTTAACACAATTCATGTTGTGGTAACCCCCAGTCATAAAAATTATTTTGTTGCTACTTTATAACTGTAATTTTATTACTATTATGAATCGTAATGTAAAAATAATGTAATGTAAAAAATGACCCTTGTGAAAGGGTCATTCAACCCCACAAGTTAAGAACCACTGCTCTAGATACTAAGTCCTTGCCTCCAGAACATTCAGACAAGGTGCTGCCAGTTTTAACAATGAAGCAGCCCTACCTAAAATGTTCCTTCAGAGAATACAGCTGCAAATACAAACACAGCATGAAAGCATTTCACAGACACCAAGGAAATGAAAACCAGCTGTTTACAGGGATTATTATAACAAGCTTTTAACCACACTCGTGTGTCAAAAGAATTTCAGTTCTGGAGTGTAGTGTGTTTTCCCTGCATACACAAAGCCCTGGGTTCAATCCCTAGGCACTGCTGTTAAACCTAATGAATTTGAGGCTGACCCGAGCTACACAAGGCCTTGGTATGTACAGAGAAGTACCATGATGATCTGAGGGTTCTTTCAATTAAGCCCAATGCAAACAAGCTGTACCCAAGATCAAGAGACAGTACCTGAAGCACTTTATACAGACAGGACCAAAGATGCCCAGCGGCCTCATGCAAGAGCCCCAGTAAAGCTTTGTGGTATCTTTTACCAAGCTACACTACACCTCAATGCCAGGTAAAAAGAGCAATGGTGTCACACACCTTAATCCCAGCAATCAGGAGGCAGAGGCAGAAGGATTTATGCGTTCAAGGTCAGTCTGGTCTACTGAGTGAGTTCCAGGATAGCCAGGGCTAGACAGAGAACCCCTGTTTTGGGGGGTGGGGGCAGAGAGAGAGGAGAGAGAGCAAATATCCACACTACAGGTAAAGGCAAAGGAGGATATGAGAGCATGATTTGGTCTCCACTCTGCTGACTTTCAGTCAGGTCAGCCACTCCTACAAATCAGGGCTGCAAAGACAAAGGGACTACAGGTTGTCAGCAATGACACTTGTCAGGCAGAGATGGGTGAGGGTAGGGTTGTAGGTAGAGATGTAAATACCATGGATCAGAAAGTGTCTGTTCTGAGCCGGGCGTTGGTGGCACACGCCTTTAATCCCAGCACTCGGGAGGCAGAGGCAGGTGGATCTCTGTGAGTTCAAGGCCAGCCTGGTCTACAGAGCGAGTTCCAGGACAGCCTCCAAAGCCACAGAGAAACCCTGTCTC